GGGGATTCCTGGCCCAGAAGCGCTTGTCCCCCACCTCCAGCCCCAAGGCGATAGCCCCGGGGACGGCTCTCCTTGTCACATGGGGAGGGACAGGTGTGTTGCTCCTCTAGCGAGGGTCTTGTTTGAAAAGGAAGTGGTTCTTAGCTGTGACATTTAGCAACAGTGACTCCCCCTTGAGTCGTGAGGTGGCTTAGAAGCTGGTGGGTGTTCTGGGCCCCGGGCCCCTTCCTCTCCCCTTCCTCCTCCCCCTGCCAGGTTCTATGACACGGACAGCTCTGCAGTCCACCCGTTTCTATGGAAACCAGGCTTCCTGGAGAAGCTATGGGGGTTGGGAGAGGTCCTCCGGGACGGGAGACATGTCTCCCGGCCTGTCTGCTCCGCTGCAGGAGCAGAGCCTGGGCATCTGCCCCGTGACCTTACTGATTGCCGCCCTTTACCTGGCTCCTGTCGGCTGCCCCGCCCCCTGCCTTTTCTGTGTGCCTCGTCACAACCCAGGAAGCCAACACAGTAGTGTGTGGTTTCATAGGGGAGGAAGCAGAGGCTCAGCGAGGCGAAGAAACTTTCCTGAGGTCACAGCGTAATTAAGATAAAGCACTGAGGTTTGATTGTGCAGGTTTACTTATCATTATGCGCACACCCACCCTGCCGCCCCCCCACCCCCATCATCCGCTGAGCTCTCTCTTCCTGCCTGGTTCAGGGTGTGTGTGTGTGGCAGGAGGGGGCGGGGGCTTTGCTTGGCCCCTGCCCTGCCCAGGCCCCTCTGTCTTGCTGCCCCTGAGAGCTCTTTGGGGGTGTTCCTACCTAGCCTCAGATGTCAGCACACAAGGAAGGGGTTGGGTGGAGGGGGAGTCATGGGTTGCAAGGAGTCAGACCTTAGCCAGCAGAGGCCTCTCAACCCCTCCCCCTACTCATTAATGTGACACAACTGTTTGTTGAGCTCATGTGCCAGGAACTGTCCCAGGCCCTGTTGACACCCACCCCTTGGCACCCCCCTCTAGTGCTGCCATGGAGCGGGGGGTGAGGTTTCACCCCGAATTCTCACCCTGTCCTCTAACCCCACCATGTCCTGGGCACCCCATTTACCAGGCCCTCTGCCGAGAGCGTTTGCACCCTCCCCTGGAGTCTTCAGCACCCTCTGAACCCCTTGCCCAAGGCCCTTTCCCAGTAGCCGGAGGCCAAATTCAAACCCAGCCCTGCCTGACTGCAAAGCCCCTTTCCTGCCTTCCTCTGCCACCAGCTCATGTGTGGCCTGGGGCAGCTCCTGTCCCCTCTGGGCCTCAGGTTTCTGCCCTGTGTGTTTGGAGCAGAGAGCCCCCCATGGGCAACTGAATGTGTTCCCACGTGTTCTGGGTGGGTAGCGAGACCTGCTTCCCTTAGCCTGTCTCATTGGCCTGTGCTGACAAAGTGCCTCCTGTGTGCCAGGGCCCAGCAGGGAGACTCTCAGTTGGGCACAACAGCCCTGCCTGCAGATCACTAAGTCTCCCAGAGGCCAGCGGCCCGTGACATGACTAGGAGTTGTGCGCAGGAAGTGGCAGTGGCCACCTTCACTGAGCCCCGCGAGTCCCCGGGAGGAGGCAATGCCCGGGGAAGGCCCCTGGACGAGGGCCATGCAGCGGCTTGAAGAACAGCGAACGTGGGGGTGGGGTAGGGGTTGGAGGGCAGGGAGGGTTTCCTGGCTGGGCTGTTGTTCGGAAGTGGGGACAACTATTAAAAGGACAGCGGTTTGCCAGCTTTATTGAGAATTGAGGTCAAAGCAGCTGGCCGGGGGCAGAATGCAGAGAGGGTCATGAACTCAAGGCTTGTCGGGGGGCACTGCATGCCACATTCTCCTTCTTGCTCAGCAGGTCCCCCAAGTGAGCGTGTGGGCCGAGGGCAGCCGTCCTACGGCCCTTCAGAAGGCAGCATCTAGATCGGGGAAAGGAAGCGTGACAGCCCTGCGGGGCAGGCTTTTTCCACTGTGCTCGGCGGAATGGATGAAGAAAGGGAGGTAGAAGGAGCCGGGCCAGGCCTGCCCCCCGCAGGCGCTTTGCTGTGCGCGCTGCCCTCACCCCCTCGCCTTATCACCCTCCAGTACCTCTGCAGGGTGGGCGTTCTCATTGCCTCCGTTTCTCAGGAGCTGAAACTGAGGCCCAAAGCCTGCAGCTGGTAAGAGCGGAACCGGATTCAAACCCAGATCTGACTGCCCCAAAGCCAGTGTCCAGCCAGAGTGCAGGAGGAGGAGTGGAGGGAGGCACCCTCTGTCCTCTTTTAGGTTAAAAGGGGCCAAGCTGAAAAGAAGCTCACAGAGTGGCCTTGAAGGGGAGGAAAGGGCAATGGCAGATCTGAGGTGGGGGGCGGGGGTTGCCCTGGGAACGGGGCATGTTTAGAGGCTGGCGGGTGTACAGTTTGCGCTGCTTACCTGTGCTCCCGAGGCTGGGCCCAGCCCTGCACATGAAGAAGGGGCAGAACTCAGTGCTCGAGCAGTTAACTGTGCAGAGGCAGGTGCCAGGGATCCACTTCCTGGAGATCAAATTCAAGATTTCATTCTCCCTGGGAGGCCTCAGGGCCCCTTCTAGGTTGGTGGCGAGCTCGGGGCTGCGGCTGGGCTCTGGGGGGTGGCTGCAGTGCGTCCTACCAGCCCAGGTACCTGACGGCAGTGCCTGTGGGTGAAGCTGGTCCCTCCTACTAATGATGCCAACGTCAGATGGAGTCCCTTTCTGTACCCAGCCCCGGCAGGTGGGCGCTGCCACACCTCACAGCCTTTGACTTATGGTTCAGACCTGTGCTGTAGAGGGGGGCTGACCGCTGAGAGGTCACTGGGCACAGGAAGGCAGCTGATCCTCCGAGCTGGGGTCACTGACACAGCCCAGGCCTTGGGGGCTATGGCTTGACAGTCAGCCTTATACCACAGGACTGAGGTCCCGGGGCTGTGCCCAATGGGGTGGAGATAGTAGGAAACGCTAGTTAGGCCCTTCTCCAGATATGCCCCAGCTCCCTTCCCAGAGCCACTGCTGCATGGGGGGGGGGGGGGGGCCAAAGTGTCTAAGTGCCCATCTCTACAGACCTCTTTCCAGGGGCCAGGCTCATTGCCCCGTGCTTGTGACAAAGGGGTGTCTTTTATTCTCATAACACCCCTTTAAGGTAGGACCTTTTATTTTCCCAACTGCAGATGGGGAGACTGAGGCACAGAGAGACTGAGTGGCCTGCCCTTGAGCACACAGCTAAAAGGCGGTGGACCCGAGGTTTATACTGGGGGTATAACTTCAGCGGTTAAGCTCTTAACGGCTGGGTCCCCTGCAGTTCGCCTTGCAGTTAGCTGGCACTTTATAACACACTTCCTGTCTGTTATTTTGTTTTTCCTTTGCCCAGTCGTAGGGGAAGAGTAAAGGTTTCCATTTCACAGAAGAGAACACTGGGGCTCATGGGGGAGGGAAGTGACTGGCTCTGATTGATGGCTGACAGATCAGCACCCCCTCCCCACTTGGGTTGTGAGCTACGTAAGGGTAGGGGCCCCGTCCTACCACCCTGTACCTGGCTTGCAGCACATCCTCACTGAACGCGATGGCTTCATTTAAGTGGGCAGGTGCTGCGCTGTGTGCTCTGACCAAGCTTCTCTTTTTGCCGCTGAATCTCAAGGAGGTGGGAAGTACAGTTCCATTTCACAGATGGGGAAAACTGAGGCTCAGGGAAATGAGGATGGAGTCAGGCAGCACGGCCAGCTTGGGAGGGAGGGCTGAAAAGCCAGGGGGACCTGTTGGAAGACTGACCATACGTGGTGCTGGGGAGGATGTGGAGTTCTAGAACGCCCGTGCATTGTCGGGGACCGCACATGGGTCACCGCGGTGGAACACAGTTTGGCACTTTCTCCCAGAGTGCAGCGTAGAGTTACCATGTAACTCAGTACCATCCCACTCCTGGGTATTTCCCTTGGAGAAATGAAAACGTGTGGTTGCACAAAAGCCTGTATATGGATGTTCACAGTCATCAAACTCGGGAATCAAACCAGTTGTTCCTCGGGAAGTGGCTGGATAATGACACTGGTGTGTCCGTCCCGTGGAATACTACTGTGCGGTGGCTCTCGGGCCCCCACCTCAAGCAGCAGGAGGGACGCCAGGCTGATAACAGCTTCTAGCTGGATTCACAGGAAGGTGGTGGCAAGTGGCTGAGGTGTCGTGACAGCCCCTAGGTCCTCAAGGAGCAGTTAGATTAAACCCTGGCTGCCTCAGCGGGGCTGACTGGCTCCCCACCTCTGGGCGTCGGGCTTTGAGCTGCCTTCGGGTCACCACCAGCCGCCTCCCATGCCCCGCGGTGTGTGCGGGGGAGGGGAAAGCATGGCTGCCCCCATTTGACAGATGTGCGGCTGGGTTAGGGAGCTCAGGAGGGGCAGCAGGCCTGACATCGAACCCACTGAAGACCTCCCGTACTGACTTTGCCCTTATTTCCAGATTCTAGCTGGTATACCTCCTGCCTAGTGTCTCTAAGTCTAAAGCCTCATTATCCAAACACCCCACAGGGTGATTCTCTATTCTGATGTTTATTTTCTGGGTGCTTTATTTTGCTTTATGGCACTGGGGGGCTGGAAAACTGGAGGTGACTTGGGGACATTTCTGCACTTTGCCTTGGCAGCCCCAGAGAGCGAGACTCGCCTGGGGTCACACAGCACTGAGGCCTGGGTCTGAGGCCTGGCCAGGGAGGTCTTGCAAGTCCAGCTCAGATGCTCGCCTGAGGACTGGTGACCCCTGAGCCTCGTCTGTAAATGAGGGGGGTCTTCCTGCTTTCCAAGAGGGTGGCTGTGGTGGGAATGAGAGGGCGGATACAGGAGGCACCCACTGTTATTTTACCTGTCTCTGTTGAACCTCGATGAACTTGGTTTCCTCGTCTGAGCAATGGGTGTAAACAGCACCCATCTTGCAGGGCCGAGCAGCCATGAGTGGTGGAGCCTGCTGCCTCCCCCGCCCCCGGGGTCAGGTTCTGCAAGCCTTAGTTTCATCGTGGTTTACGGTCCTGTCTCTTTTGCGTAGGTTTCGTGCTGATTGAAGGCGGGACCGGACATTCAACTCATCTCTGCGTCCCCATTGTCCAGCACGGTGCCTGACACACAGTAGGTGCTTAAGACCTGGCCCAAGGTGGAGCTGGTGGGGTGGCCCAGGATTGGTGGCTGTGGAGTCGTGGGCAGACACGGGGGAGGGGTAGAGGCTGGTGGTGGGTGCTGACAGGAGGGAGGGGACAGATCTGGGCTGTCCAAAGCCCTGCCTGCACCCCTGGCCATCCGTCCTCTGGCTCAGCGGGGTCTGGCCAGCCCCGCCCCCTTCCTTCAGTCCTGGTGGGTCTGAAGGAGGTTGTTTGGGGGACATGAAGGAGGGAGGGAGAGGGCTTGCGGGGCCGCAGGGGTTGTGTGGGCAGAAGGTCGGTGGAGAGCCTGGCGCCCAATCGCTCAGGAACCCCTGCTTGGGCTCAACCTTCCTTCTTCCAAACCTCGTTTGCCTGCCAGCCTCAAGCCCCTGCTTACCGCATCCCCCGGGAACCGCTAGGTGTGCTCTCAGTCCCCACGCTTGTCCTGGGCCCTGTCCTCCAGGGCCGTCTGTAAGCTCCATTCATCCAGCCCAGTCACCTGGGGTGTTCCACGTCCACTTTGGCCAGACGGGCTGGTTGAACTGGAGGGGCCTTAGGAGCACCCGCACCGTGTATTTCACAAATGAGGAAGCTGAGGTCAGAAAAAGGCCCCTTCTCTGTCACTGCCGGGTGGTTAGGCAGCTGGGCGCTGAGCCCGGGCCCTCAGGTTCCTCGCCCTGGGATCCGCCTGCTGCCCCAGGCAGAGGGGCTGGCCGCCCTCAGAGGTCCCGGAGCTGCGCCCGACCCATGGCCTCAAGGCCGGTGTCTCCCTACAGCCCTCCTGAGGAGGAGGCCGGGCCCCAGGACAAGATGGCGGCCAAACAGCCCCCCCCTCTCATGAAGAAGCACAGCCAGACGGACCTCGTGAGCCGCCTGAAGACCCGCAAGATCCTCGGTGTGGGCGGGGAGGACGACGATGGGGAGGTGCACCGCTCTAAGGTGGGCTGCGCCTGGGGTCTGCCTTGCAGCACCGGTGCCAGGTGGGGGATGGCGGGGGCTGGGCCGGCCCATCATTTGGGAGAAGAGTAGCTGAGACCCACATAGCTGCAGGGGCCCCAGGATGTAGCTGAGTTTTCTAGAAACTTAACGGAGATGCCGGGAATAAAAACAAAAATGAAAACAGATCGTTAGAATTAACTGAGTGCTTATTATGTGCCTGTTATTGTACCATAGTTTTTATAAGCATTATTTGATCTGGCTAGCCCTGGGAGATGCAGATAGTCTCAACCCATTTTATAGATGAGGAAACTGAGGCTCAGAGAGGTTAGGTTTCTTGCCGAAGGCCACACCGGTAAGTGGCAGAGCCAGGCTTTCAGCCCACATCTGGCAGTCCCCTGAGCTTTCATTCTCGGCCACTGTATTTTCCGCTTCCCTTAAGCCCTGGTGTCAGGGAGGCGGTGAGGGCGTGGCCTCAGTGTGACCCTTCCAGCCTGGGTGGCCATTTGGCTAAGCAGAGGTACCCAGGTGGGCACCGGAGGATGCCAACCAAGGGTGGGAGCCTGGGGGTTCAGTGGGCTGGCTGTGCTGAACGCTGCCTTCCCTTGGTTGCCTCTGACCCCTCTGTGTCTACAGATCAGCCAGGTCTTGGGCAATGAAATCAAGTTTGCTGTCCGGGAGCCTTTGGGACTGAGGTGAGCATTACAAGTGAGTTTGGTGGGGAGCGGGGTTGTGGGAGCAGGGTTATGGGGAGGGGCTGTGTAAGGTCTTGCTTCTGGTCTTGCTTCTGGTCTTGCTCTTGATTCCATCTCTTCTCATTCCCTCTCCCCAAACCAACCCTTCCCTGGGCATCTTGGCTGGAGAGGGGAGGGTCCCTTGGGGCCTGGGGGTGGCAGCTAGGGACCTGGCGGTGACCTTCCTGTTTGCTGCCCCCCAGGGTCTGGCAGTTTGTCTCTGCTGTGCTCTTCTCCGGCATTGCCATCATGGTAAGCCCGCCCCCCGCCCCCAGGGGCCCCGAGCCTCTACTAGGGGCTCTTCTGCTCTGGGGTCCCTGTTGCCTCTCCCCACCAGGATGGCCACCATGCTGAGGCCATCTGTCCAAACTCGCTGGCTGCCTCCATGTCCTGGCTCCTGATGCTCATTCTACCTGTGTCCTGGAGCACCCTGGATCCCTGACCCCGGGCCTGCTCCTGGCCCTGGCAACCCCAGCGCCTTCGGTCTTGCATTGGAGGAGTGGGGGCAGTCGAGGTCCTGATCCTGGACTGCCCCAGGAACCCTGGCCCTGTTCCTGGGGGAAGGGAGATGTCCAGGGGGGTTTCACAGTGACCCCCACCTTAAGCCTCCCATTTGCTGTCCTCAGGCCCTTGCCTTCCCTGACCAGCTGTATGATGCGGTCTTTGATGGAGCCCAGGTGACCAGCAAGACCCCCATTCGCCTCTACGGGGGTGCCCTCCTCAGTGAGTATTGCTGGGGAAGACTCTGGGGAGGTGATGGGCAGCTGGGGGACCAACCGGGGTTGAGGGGAACGTGGGGAGCCTTCCTCTGTGCATGGGCTCCTGCCCCAGATAACACCCCTAGCTATCTCTCTTTGTTGGGTGCATGCTGCCATCTTGTGGCCACTGGTAGAATGCACCCAGTGGATTGGAGCTCTGTCTGGGCTATCCCTGGGGACACGCGCTTGCTGAGTGTAATGCACCACCTGGGCGCTGGGGTTCAGAGCTGAATGAGGCCTCACAGCCTGGAGAGGCAGGCAAAGTCAACACTGTCTGAAAAACCCCTCACGCCCTTGGGCCTCTCATTTGAACCACTTCTGTTTCCTCTTCAATCTGAGTCACACACAATGCCTGTTAGGGAGCTGAATAACAGCTTTAAAAACCTAGTATAGATGGTGTTCCTTGTCTCCAAGAACATTCTATGGCAGCCCATTGCCTTGGTATTAAAGCCCCAGCTCTGCCACCTGGCAGTCAGGGTCACTGTGGGGTGGGTCCAGTTGGCCTTCACACACCTGCCTCCCCCACATCCAGCCACACCTCCTGATGCCCCACCCCCCTGCCTTGGCAGCAGTTTCCCAGCCCTGCGCTGATCGCACGTCCACTCAGCCCTCATGGGCCAGCTCCAGTGCCTCTGGGGCCGGGGGTGGTGGAGATTGGGACGGGTTCAAGCCCTTCACCCACACAGCTGGAGAGCTAGGGTTATGGGGTTAGGTTTGTTGAAATAAACTGCGTACATATCTGGCATTGGGAGCCAGCAGAGCTGGAGTAAGCTTGGCCTGGAGAGGCTAAGGAGGTGGTTCCTCCACTGGAAATACGGTCTGCCTTTCTCCCCCTGGGGAATTCCTTAGTGAGATTCCTCAGTGGGCTCAGGTTTCCTGTCTCCAGGAGTCCATTTGAAAAGGAAATGTGATTGTAGGACCAGGTAACCCATTAACTCATAGACTCCCATCAACCCAGAACCAGAACAGAACCTGACAGGGGCAGGATACCTGGATCTCAGGTCTCCTGTTTTACAGGTGAAAAGACAGAGTCCCAATCAGGGGATGTGACTTGCCCGGTGTCCCATGGGGTGTGAGACATTGCATGAGTGGGAACAAACTTATTGGCTGACAGCAGAGTTGAGCCTGGAGGGAATGGGACAGGGGAGGGACAGGTGAGTTTTAAGTTGAGGAAGTGTGTGGGGGCTGACGTCAGTATACAGGATCCTGGCTCCCTTGCCATGTAGGGCCAAAGGGACCGGGCCCAGGCCCCTCGCCCCTGCCCCAAAGGAGCAGGTGGGCCAGGCTGTCCTGCCCCAACCCCCTCTTTGTCCCCACCAGGCATCTCCCTGATCATGTGGAATGCCCTCTACACGGCCGAGAAGGTCATCATTCGATGGACTCTGCTCACCGAGGCCTGTTACTTCGGGGTCCAGTTCTTGGGTGCGTCCTGAGGTGGGCGGCGAGGGGAGGCTAAAGGCGGGGTGCAGGCGAGCAGCTTTGCCCTCGCCTTCCGGCCCTTGCACTTGGGCTTCTAGAAAGCGATGGAAACCTGTCTCAGGGGGAGGGACCCAAGTGGCTGTGTTAAGCCGTGTGCCTGCACTCCTGTGCTCACACACCTGACATGTGTCTGTATCTTCTAAACTCACACACAGGCATTGGCACAGGTGCCCCCACACATGCACACCTGCCGCCTCCCACATCCCAGCGCAGGCGTGACCGCACACAGCGGTTGTGCCCACACGCCCCCCCGCCCAGTTCCTGCCACATGGGGGTCATCAGAACAGACATGCCTGTGGGGTCGGACGGCTGGCAGGACTGCAGGGCTCCTGGGTCACAGGCCGTCCCAGGGCGGGGGGAGGGAGCACATCCCTGCTCTGACCCCTGTTCCTTCCTGGCCTTTCTCCCGCAGTGGTCACTGCCACACTGGCTGAGACGGGCCTCATGTCCCTGGGGATCCTGCTGCTCCTGGCCAGCCGCCTCCTCTTTGTTGCCATCAGCATTTACTACTATTACCAAGTTGGCCGAAAACCCAAGAAAGTCTAGCGGACCACTGGGCTGGGGCCCCCATGGGGCAGGGCAGCCCTGGGCCTCGGTTTCCCTTTGGTCCACGGAAGGCAGGAAGGACCCTGCCCTGCCCCGGGCAGAGAGGCATGGCCGCCGCCCTTTCGTCCTGGGCCCTTCCCGAGCACTGCGATCTGGGCTCTCAGGTCTGGGGAAGCACTGGGCCTCTGCCCCCTGCTCTTCGCCCCACACAGTGACGCCTCCTTCCCCTGGGCCTCTGGGCCTGTGGATCCCTGGACAGTGTGACTGAAGAGCCTGCATCACGGGCGAGCGGACTGAGGCGCGGCCCCTGCCCCTTCTGCCCGCAGGCTCTTCTGTCTTTGAGAGAGGCTGTGGGCCGCCTCCTTGACCTTCCCCTTCACTCCCAGCCAATCTAGTGCCCAAGCAGCTAAACTTGGCTTCTGTCTATGCCTGGAAAACCCAAGAATTTGACCTTCTGTCTCTACTCCTTGTTGTGGCCCTCCCCATGTGTGTGGGGGCCTTTCTCCACCTCCGGACTCACACACCTGCCCTCCCCACGGCCCAGCTGCCGGCCAGCGGGCAGAGGCGGCCGTCTCTGAGCTGGCACTTGCCTTTCAGCCCTCCGGTCAGGTGGGTCATGCGCAGCTGAGCCTGACCCGGCCCCCCTGGACTCTCCTGGGGCTTCGCTCGAGGCTGCCCTGCCTTCACCCCAGCTCCTGGAGGCCCCTGGGAGCCCCCTTCCCCCAACTGGCCTGGGTCCGGAGCTCGACCAGTGGCCTCCCCCGCGGGCTGGCCCTGACATGGACACACAGGTAACCCCAGATGGGGGCCACCTGCAAGTGACGGGATTGGGAGATGAGGAAGAAAGAAAAGCATTGCATTTCTTTGTCCCTCGGCCATGCCTTCCAGGGTCTGATGCTCGCCTGCCCTTGCCTTGGCCCCAGGGTCTGGTGGGACAGGACTGGGTGTCCTTCTAACTCAGCAGGGGAAATGGAAATATTTCAGGAGGCCACCTCTTCTCCCCCCCGCCACCCCCTCCCAGACACCCTGGAGAAGGCTGACACCTGGCTCCCTCGGAGCTGAAGACCCCCTGCAGACCCAGCGGCCTGTGTGCCCCCCCGGTACCCCCTCTTCCCTCTCCATGCTCTCCCTCCCTCCAAGAGACACGCGTGGTCACCAGGACGGCAGCCCCTGTGTTCTGGGGACAGGAGTGGAGAGAAGCAGCCCAGGCCCCAGTCCCACCCCCCCACTTGGAATACAGTGTGTTTGGGGGCCAAGACGGGCGGTCCTTCGGTGCAGCCCAGCTCTGGCTACTGCCGGGTGGGCCTGTGTCTGGGACCCTCACACTGGCCTCCCCTGTGCCCGGCTGTCCCTGCAGCCACCTGCCTGGTGTCCAGCTCAGCTGAGGAGAGAGGCCCAGTGGGCCAGGTGTCTAAGGCTATGCTGCTGGTGGCCATGGTCGTGCGGAGGGGAACCTGAGGGCCTGCTCTTTCCTGGCACCCATCTCTTGCCGCTGAAGTTTGTGCCTGTCCCCAGGCAGAGCCCTGGCCAGGCTGGGAGGCCACCGCTGACTTGGGGAAGTGGTGGTGGTGGCCGGTGGGTGGTGCCCCCACAACCAAGGCCACGTCCTCCATCTGACCCACGCCCTTTAAAGCCTGGCTAGTCCCCACATGGGTGGCGGATGATAGCAGCGGGGCGGGGCAGGTAGACCCCTTGGAGGCGGCCAGGAAGGGGAGGCTTGGGCTGTGCTGGGGCTGTGCTGGGCCTCTGCCGGGCCGAGCTGGCCAGGCCGGCTTGCTCAGCCGGGGAGCAGCGAGGGCCCATGGGGATGGCGCTGCCCAGGCCGTGGCGCAGGGAAGCGTTCACAAAATTCCCTGATGGGTTAGACATCCAGTGAGGCCTGGAGGGAGGGGCTCTGGCAGGCAGATGTGCGCTGGGGGCAGGGTGGTGGTAGGGAGGGAACAGTGACAAAGGAAGCCACAAAGCCAGTGAGGAAGGCCAGGTGTGGGCCCAGCTCCCATCCAAAAGGTTTGAGAAGACCCAGAATGCCCTCCCAGGTCCCCTCTGCCACCAGAACCTGGCCAGGACTTGCCAAGCTCCTGCCCCAGCCCATCCCTCCCCCAAATCAAGACCACTTTTCCTCACGGCCACTATTTATTCTTCGTTCCTTTTTCTTTTTGTAAGAAACAGTCACAAAAACCAGTGCAAAACCATCAGTGTGGGTGTCCTGTTTTATATTACAAAAACTCTTGATATATAATATAAAAAGGGGGACTCACGGGAAATAAACATGATAAATTAGCTCTGCTATCTACTGCAAGGAACATTTACAGTTTTCAAAATAGACTTTCAACATCGGGCCCATGGGGGAGGGGAAGAGGGGGCTTCTTGGGGTGCTGGGGCTGCATCCAGTTTGGGGGATCCTGCTGGGGCCCCACACGCATGGGTAGGAGAGGGGCAAGGGAGGCTGGGCATGGGCCCTAGCCCCCAAGATGTCTCCTTTCCCCCAGAGGCACTGGTTTTGGAGCAGGAACAGGGTGGGTACCCAATTCAGTGTGAGGTCTTCCTTGGCCCTCGCCCTGCTGTCCGGTCGGTCGTAAGAAGCTGCAGAGGCATTCCTGCCCGCCGCTCCACCCCCTCAGCCGACACCCGCCCCCAGCAATAGCGTGTGGGCTCTACCTGGACCAGCCCAGCCCAGCCGAGATGAGGCCAAGCGGGCTCCTTGGGTTGGGGCAGGGCTTTCTTTTTCCATGCCCCACCCAGCCTTGCCCCGTGCCTCAGAACAGCCACTGGCAGCCTTGCAAATAGCTACCTGCCTGAGCAAGTGTCCTGCTTTCCCTTTCCAGCCTCAGAGTGTGCCCAGGGGATGGGAGGGAGGGGGTCAGGTTCAGTATTCTTTGCTACCTTTCTGGAAAGCCCTTGACGAAAGAGCCTCACGTCTGTGCGTGAGCCGCTCAGCCGGATGGTTCCCCGTGACCTTCCCCTCAAACCACTGTGGGGCCCTGAACAGGTGCAGGGGAAGAGGCTGGAGGAGCGGTGTTGCCGTGCCAGGCCTGTGCTCCTTACCTCCCAGACCCCAGGTTTTCCTGCACCGCCCTGGGCTCCTGCCACACAGCTGCCCAATTTGACCTCTTCTCCCCCGCTCAACCTCAGACCAGCCAGTTGACTGTTCCAAGAAGCTGGTGGATCTTGAAGGGCAGGCCCTCCTCAGGCTGGGCTGGGGTGCCAGCTGCGGGCCCCTTGGATCCCGGGATGCCCAGTTTCTAGGGAGCTTGTGGCATCACGGAGTCACCAGGGCAGGCTGTTCCAGGAAACTTGGAAAGACCCAGTTGGTGGGGACAGAAGGACGGTGGGAGGTGGAAAGGGAGAAATGGGAGGTCTATCCCAATCTTTACAGCAGGCACAGAGCTCTGGCTGCACCTCAGGAGAAGGCAGGTGGCAGAGCAGGGCAGCGCTGGGCTCTGGGCCACTGCTCTCCCCAGGAGTGGCTGGAAAGCAGGAGGGGAGATGGGAAGCTGCCACAAGGCCATGGCCTGGGCCCTGAAGAGACGGAGAAGAGCAGGTCAGGCACGGTACCACCCCTCCCTCTCCCACACCTGTGGCAGACAGCACTAATCAAGCTCCAGGTGCCTGGCAGACATCACTAATGGATTGCACTGCCTCTCCCCCTGGGCCCAGCCCAAGCCTCGGATCCCCTGCACAGCCTCCGCCAGCCCATCCCTCCCCCAAATCAAGACCTCCCAGACCGTCAGGGTTGAGGCGTCTTGCAATCCAGGTGCCAGCGCTGGTCTGGAATTTGAGGTCTGTGTGATGAGGGGCTGATTTGTGGGTGCCGTGTGGGTGTCAGTCTGTGGGAAAACCTCTTCCTGCCTGAGCCTGCAGGGAGCCCTCAGGAATGTGCTATGGATGGTGAAGAGACAGGAGTCCATGGCACGGCAGAAATTATGAGATGCCCTGGAGTTCTTTAGCCTGGAGACAACAGGCAGCCTTAACACTTAAGGAGCAAGGGCTACGCCTTGGATGGAACCATGGAAAAACAGAAGTCTCTCCTGTATATTAAGCTGATGCTCAGGCCAGCAGCCCAGAGGCAGAGTGCTGTCCTGGGAGGTAGTAAACTCCCCGTCCCCAGAGGTGTGCAAGAAGAGGGTGGAGATCTCGGCAGTGGTCTTACAGAAGATATCCAGGCCACAGTTCTAGGGGAGGAGAGAACCAGGTGATCTCGGGGGTGGGGGCTCCTTCCGGCCCTGGGAGCCAGGGAGTTGGTGGAGAACAGGGAAGGGGATGGGCTTACAAGGGGAGATGGGTAGCATGGAAAAGGGACCCTGGTGCGTGTACGTGTGCTCCTGGGGGCTGAGAAGTGTGAGGAGGTGGGAGGGAGGGCAGGGGGGACAGTCTGGAATTTTCTTAGCTGTGGAACTGGGAAGAGACCATTCCTGGCCTGCCTGCCCTCCCCTCCTGGGGAGACCACGCTGCCAAGGCCAGGGAGGGGTGTGAGCAGCAGATCTGCTGGACGGAGTGTCAGGCAGCCTGGAGACAACCCAGTGCTTGTTCAGGATGTCATGCATGTGCGGCGTGACTGTGGGTGAGACTCTGGGCCTTCCAGATTATTTAGTCCAACAGCTGGGGAAAGCAAGGACCCCACCGGCTGGGCCATTCTTGGATCCAGTGTCCCCAGCCCACCCTCAGCCTGAGCAAGAGCAGGGGCAATTCCACCGACCGCAGGACCCAGGATTGTGAGTAGGTGCTGAGTTCTCAAGGACGTGGTGACCAAGGCTCCTTGGGGCCCCTGGGCTGTGGGGACCTCTCTCCGAGGTTTGCCTTTTGCCTTCTTGTTGCCTAAGTCCTCCCTTTCTTGGCACCGGGTTCTGAAGCTGTGAGACGACCCAGGCCCAGGGCTGCCAGAGTCCCGCTGGGCCGAGGAGGGGACCTGGGACTGGTGTTCCTTTGGTCTCTGGTGCAGACTGCATCCCGGACGCAGAGAGCCCACGGCCCGCACCCCAGAATCCAGGCTGAGTACATCAGTCCATAGTTTTGTCATTTTGTTTTGTTAAAAAAATAGCTATTTCCCCTTGCCCCTTCTCCTGGCCACCCACAGTGGCCTCACCTCCTCCCCCGGGATTAAGGGGGGAAGGGTGTCGGGGAAGGGGAGAGCATTGGGTGCGGGGCAGTTGGTGGGCGGGGTGAGTCTTCAGGCCACGCCCTCTACTGGATGCCTCGGAAGAGGCACATGGCGAAGATCATGGCGAAAAGCTGCACAGAAAGTGGGAGTTGGCTAGTTAGTCTGGGCCCACAGCTCCCTTACCGCCGCCCGCCCTGCAGCAGGGAAGGGGCTGCCCATCCCTCTTGGCACACTCCTGATACCCCCCAAGCCACGGGTCCCCTTTACGCCGTGCAGCTGGGGAGGGAAGTGGGCTTCGGAAACCCAGAGACGTGAGCTCAAATCCACCTTCCTTACTCGCCAGCGGCGACCCCGGGCTGAACACTTCCCGTCTCTGGACCTGAAAGTGTCTCCAGAATTCACTGCATGCCAGGCACAGTTCTAAGTGTTTGCTCAGAAACCTCGCAGACCAGGAAGTGAGGCACAGGGAGGCCGTGGCACCTGCCTAAAGTCACACAGCAGCAAGTGGGGGAGCTAAGGCTCGAGTCCAGGCTTCCTGACGCCAGAGCCCACGCTCCTAACCCGCACCCTCCTCCTCCTAGTGCACAGGAAGCGCGTGAGACTGAAGTGGAAGGTGATGATCTAGCGATGTAACGGTGCCTGTGGTGTTACTAACCGGCAGGATTGTTACTAACCGGCAGGGAAGACACAGCCCTTCCCAGAGCAGGAGTACAAGCACGAAAGGCCGGGGGCGGGGCGGTGGGGCGGGCACAGACTTGGCCACGCCCCTCAGCCCAGGCTGCCTGACGCCCCCAGGGCCAAAGCTCTTCATCCAAGCAGCACAAGGAACGGTCTCCAGACCACAGGCTCTTGGAGAAATCTCTAGGAGGGACAGTGGCTGGCGACTATGGGAAAGGTCACTGTCTGGAGCAGGGTTCTGCCTCCCACAGGGGCCGGGGACCTGGACACTAAAAGCCTACATCCTTCCTGCCCCGGACGCGTGTCTGAAATTTCCCCAAGCCCAGTGCAGGTTTATCTGTTTCTTCACTGTTACCTCCCCAGAGAGGACGGGTTCGCTTTGAACAGTCCCGGCACACAGTAGGGGCTCAATCTATGCTTGAGGAGTAGCTGAAGGAGGGAATGAATAAACGACCTTTCCCCCTCCCCCATCCCCAGCAGCCTCCATAGACTGCTGTAAGCGCGGCTGTAGGGCACGGTAAGGGCACCGTGGTTATGGTGCCAGGTGGGCGGCAGCCCTGCGAGGCTGCCCGGCACCCTTTCCCTGAAGGCCCGGAGGTGACTGGGCTTGGGCAGCGCCGCCCCTCTAACCTCCCTGAGCAGCCGGATTGAGATGGGGAGAGGGGGAGCTCCACCCTGTGGCTGAAGCGCCCCCTGTTGGTGTCTGCGAGGGTCGGCAGCTACCTTTCTTACGAGCCGGGGGGCCCTCCAGGGACAAGGGGCTAGGAAAGCCCTTGTGAGGTTAACCAGGCTGCACAAGCCCTGAACACAGAAGGGCCTGACCTAGAAGCACACACCAGCACCCCCTCAAGGCAGCTGTTTTGCTCCTTTGTTCCAGAGTTCTGTAGACCTTGGGTGGGGTTCGGGGACCAGGGGGAATGGGGGATGGGGTGGGAGAGGAGTAAAGACAGGAGTGGGAGGAAGATAGGGGAGTGACTCTCAGGACCCACCACCCTCACTGCCCAGAGACTCGCTCAGGCATGTCCGGAGTCCCCCGACTCAGGCAGCAGGCAGGCTTGGCTGGGCTCACCACCCCAGAGTGTCCGCCGTGGGGGACCCAAGGGTCCCGAGTTAAGGACGTGGAGAAGGGGGGGCTGGGGGTTGCAGGCCACGGGCAGTCTGCCCCAGACCCCATGTGTGCCCTGCTCCTGGGGAACCGCAGAGGCCAGGCCTTCACTCACCTCAATGGCCAGCACCCCGATGGCGAGGGCTCCGGCAAGGTAGACGTAGGTTTCGCAGGCGTTGAGGATCACCGTGTAACAGCCCTGGGGGAGAGGACGGGGTAAAGCCGCAGACCGAGGGACAGTCTGGGGTCACCCTGGGGGTGAAGCCGGGGAACTGGCATGGGCCCTAAAGCCCAGGCAGCATCGTAGGCGTGGAGCACGGCTCCAGTCCCTGCAGGGCCGCCCAGCCTCTCTGAGCCCCTCTAAGCACATCCTGGCTGGTGGTAAGTGTCTGAGCGCAGAGTTGTGTGTGGGGGATCGGTCCCTGTGTTTCCGGGTCTCTCTCTCTACACACACACACACACACACACACACACACACACACACACGGCACGGGAGAAACAGTAAATCCTTCCAGGGCCTGACGTTGACTTTGACGTGCCTTGCACCAGGGAACTTGTCCAGCAGAGGGAAGACATGCCTGTGTGCTCCCTCTGCTGAGGGTGGTGTGCCTGGGGCCTTAACTACCCGTCTTCCATGTATCTGGCTCTGGTACCCTTTGGGTCCCTGGACTGAACCGAGCTGACCGGGCTGGCCAATGGAGGCCTGAGATACTGAGAGCTCTCGCAGGGAGCAGGGAGGGCAGGGGGAATGGGCGGGGCGATGCCACCAACACTTTGGGGGCCTCCACCCTGTCAGGAACTTTGCTGGAGAATAGCGTAAAACCTCCTGCCCACTCAGGCCCACCCCGATCCCTGAGCAGCCAGAACGCCGTCATGGCCAGGCCCCCCCATTCCCCAGGCAGAACTGGGTATGGGTTTCCACTGCTCTCCCAGCCTCCTCACCATGAGCCTGCTGGCCCTGCACGGTGGGGCCCTGCTGATACTCTCGCCTTGAGCTAGTCTTGTCCTATTCACTGTGCTCCAGCCCTGCTGGCCTTCCCTTGGTGCCTGGAACACACTGTGCTCCCTCCCACCCCAGGGCCTTTGCACGTGCTGCTCTTGCTCTCTTGCTGCATTGCTTTTCCCTTTCTAGGAGGATGAGGGTGTAGCACTTTGTTTCAAGAAGAGTCACAGCAGCACCCACACTCACACGCCACTACGAAGCAGGTGAGGACAGTGAGGATAAAGCAGAGAAACAGCAAAGACTCAAGATCACCTGGACAAATGGAGACTATGGATGGCGGCACCTGGAGACATGGCAGCCATTTTGCCACCAGAAGTGGTAAACACAAGGAAAAGACCCCAAAGATCACAGACACCAGGCCTGGGCTGACATGGCAAAGCCTTGACTGACACATCAGAGCCACTCATACAATGTGAGAAGCCACTATCTTCTAGAATCCTTGCCATGTGTGAAACACAAAGGTACTTGCTTAAGCCCCTTTAGTTGGGATTTCAGTTACTTGCAATCAAACGTGTTGCTGGCCTACGGGGGGGCTGATAAGACCGTGACAGGATATCAGGCCAAGTCGGAAATGCATCCTGGGCTTTAGGGAAGTGGGTTTTGGAGAAAAATACAAACAGAGAGTCTCTTGGCAGAGGCTTTTAAAAGGGAAGAATGCTCAGAGGGATGTGAGTGTCTCAGAAACGGAGTCCCAGAAGCCAATCTTGGTAACCCTCCCAAGGAACAGGGGAAGAGTCATCCTGAAGAACTAAATAGCTCTGCAGGGGCCTCGCTGATGAGCTCCCAACATAAAAGCCATACCCAGGAGATGGCAGGAGGCATCAGGACTGAGTTTGAATCAGAAATGAGAAGCATGTCGGGATGAGGCCCTAAAGGACCAGGGCCCATGAAAAGCCTCCCAGAACAATCCACAAGTGGCCTTAGGACACAGGTTTCGCTATGCGCATCAGACATTCCTAACAGCAGCTCCAACAACTTAGAAGTTCGTTTATCTTTCATCTCAAATCCCGAGCTGTAGTGGCAACTCTGGTCTGTGGAGTTGTCAGTGGCCTTGTCTCCTTCTTTCTTGATCCTCTGACATCCTGGAGGGCTACCCTCCTCTGCAAGGTCAGGTCTGGCTGTCACCACAGCTGCATTCCAGCCAGGAGGAAAGGAGATGGGCGGGCACAGCGCTTTCTCTTAAGGATATGACTCAGTTGCACAAATCACATCTGCTTACCTCCCTTCGGCCGAAAGTTGGTCACATGGCCTAGTTTCAAGGGAGGCTGGGAAGGGCAGCTTCACCTGGTGGTCAGGGGCCTTATAAAGCCCTTCATTCCAAGAAGGAAGGGGTGAAAGGAGTATGGGGATAACCAGCAGTCTCTGCCATTGTATAGGGGATCTGGGGTCCAGAGAATGTGTCCTGGCCGTGGTGACATAGCAGTTAACGTACCAGGCCAGGCTCACATCACAGCAAGGAACTGCCTCTCTGTCCTGCAGCCTCTCTTCACGGCAGAGACCCAACCCCTATGGTGGCCCACCCTCCCAATTCTGCAGCGACCTGATCCCAGGGCCCTAGTCTCCTTCTTGATGTCCCTCTCCCGCTGTGCAGGAGGCAGGACTGTGAGGGGCAGAGGAACTTGGCTCTTGGCGCCTTTGTACCCTTTGACATGATGTGGGAAGGTGCAGGGGATGGTGGTGCGGAGTCTGTGAGACAAAGCTGAGGCCGGAAAGAGACTCACCAGATGGCCAGTGTCAGGCTGCAGCTCAACTGTCCCCTCCCATGGGACTCGGAGAGGCCTGCCTTGAGCCCTCTACCCCAGTCCCTTCTAGGCCGTCGTCTGGTTTTCTTTCCTTCATAGTCATTGTTGCCATGTGAAATGATCACTTTCGGTTTGTTTGCTGCTTGTTTATCATCTGCTTCCTCTAACTAAACCAGGAGCCCCACAGGAACAGGGTCTGTCTCCTGCCACTGAGGCGTCCCTCGCATCTGGGACTCTCCCGTGAGATTCTCATTAAAGACCTAATCGAGCGACAGGCGTGGGGAACGGGCTCAGCCCGCCCTCCTTCGCCCCTTCCCTCTGGTCTCACACCTGCACTGAGGGCCAAGGTGGGGGGTGCTGGTCACTGGGGGACCTCGTGTCACACAGGATGGGATACGGATCCCTCTGAAACTGAGATGAAGTCCTAGAGTTGTAAGAGAAGCAAAGAAGTCTAGGAGCTTCCCTGACCTTGCTCCGTTGGAGCCGGGAGGTGTTCAATGTGGCAAATGTGAGCTGCCCCCAAAATGAAGGAGGGAGCCCCCAGCTGCGTGAATCTAGTTCTGGCTCCCAACCTATATTATAAGAAGCTCAAGGAGTGCTCTGCCTGGGACACTGGAAAACTACTCCCCCTTTACCCCCAGCCAAGGTGCCCCCTCCTCTGGCCTGTGCCATCTCTGAGCCATGTGCCACCTTCATCGCTTCCCCTTTTGATTGGACCTCAGGAGCCTGGATGGAGCTTCATTAGCCTCTATTCAGTCCCACATCACGGCCAACAGTCCCATGGGATCCCAGGGGGCCTTCAGGCCCTCCGGGACGACACTGCCGCCCACCCAGCTCCGGCCACCACGGCCCCCTGCCTGGGGGAGCAGGGCCTGTACCTGCTTGTTCAGGAACAAGTCCCTTCCCAGGAGGCACTCCTCCCTGCTCAGCAGGATCCCGTCCCGAGTCTGGGGCTCTCTCCGGCAGCAGGCCTCGGGCACCTCGTCACTATCCAGAGTCAGGAGTCGAAACACCGATGCAAACTTGAAGTCCTCAGGTCCATTGACCCCGCAGCAGCCAAACTAGGAGGAGAGCAAAGGGGAGAGTCTGGTGGGCGGGAGCTGGCCCTGTGGGACAGAGGAGGACAGACAGCCTCTCTAAAGGCTGCAGTGAGGAAGCATGATGGAAGGGGGTTGAGGCCCGGATGGGGTCTGGCTGCCCCCCGCTCCACCTGTGTGACCTGGGGCAAGTGACTCAGCTTCTCTGAGCCTGCAGTGTCCTCATCGGTAAAATGGGGGCGGTGGTAACAATTTCTACCTCATCAGGCACTTGGCACTCAGCAAACAGTCGCTACGATTTGCTACCACTGATGACGACAACTGCTTGAGAGCTCAAGTCAGGGAGGGCAAACAGGTTTCATTCGGAGTGTGGACTGTGATCGAGGGGCCGTGGTTGCGGGACGCTGCGTGGATGTGACTCTGGGGCGGGTCTGGGCTTGGGGGCCAGTGCCCGGGTCGATCACTGGCACCTGAGCAGAGGGCGCTCTGGAGGCCGGGCGTTTGCAACACTGGGCTCTGAGCGCTCCTGGCATCCCTGGGTGTTGGGGGACGTCACTCACCGTGATCATGACCGAGTTCCAGGTGGCAGAGAAGACATCTGTGTCGTTGTTGCCCTGATAATGCTTGGTGAGCTCCTTGGTGAAGAATTCACGGGTGAGCTGGGGGCAGAGGGAGACGGTGGGCTGAGACCCCCGCCTGGCAGCTTGGTGCTGCCCCTCCCCTTCCCTGACCTCTCCACCTGACAGCTTTGGGGGAAGGGAAGGAGGCCTCAGGGCCCTGGTGCCAGGTTCCTGGCATGTTCCTAAGCTTGGGGCAGGTCCCTCAACCCCACCTCAAGGCCTGTGGCCTGCCCCCATCATGGGAGCACTCGCGTGAAAAGTTTACACACAGCCCTGGGCAACCCCGAGGCCAGGGCATGCTGGGCACCTCGCTCTGCCCCGCGGCTCTTCTCAGGCGGAGGGCTAACACAAGGCGGGGGGCTTGCCCTCACGCCACCCCCTCCACCCCGAGCTGAGCCTCAGACAGAGCTAAGTGGATGCCCTGGAGAAACCACGGTAAGGAGCAGGTAGTCTTTGCACATCTAGTGTCCAGAGATGTCCCTGGAAGCCACTCCTACACTCCAAATATTCTCCAGAGGTCTCACCACCCTCCTCTTGCTGTGATGAGAGGGTGGGGAGCTGGGTGGTGCCCTGCAGGGGGGGTCCCTCTGGGCAGCGACAGCTCTTCTGCTCACCACCCAGGGCCAGCTTGTGCCTCCTGCCCCCTCACCATCCCACTGCTTTGTTTCGAGGCCGCCTTTGGCTGGTGCCTGGCTCTCCCAGACTCAGGAGGGGGCTGGTGATCCAGATGGCCGGAGCCCCTGGAATGAGATGGCCTGTGGGGACAAGTGGCCCAAACTGGATGCTGGCCAGGGCCTCAGCTGCTTGTCACACATGCCAGAGCCCAGGGGACAGCTTCCCTGACTATCCTTAGACTGTCAATTGCCTGGCGAGGTGTGGAATGGAAGATTCCAGAAGCAGATGTATGATTGTACTAGATGTTGGAGGAGTGAAACCCTTAAGGGCCCCCTGATGCTAATCTTCTGGAAAAGCCCTTATAAGGAAGAGGCTCGCTGGGTCACACTTTGGGCTGAAAGTACTGGATGGGAGGCTGGTGACTCTGTGAGACCCTCTGAGGACGGGACAGGCGGGCATGGTGGCCACTGATCCCTTGCTGGAGGCAGGGAGCCAGTGTGCATGGGGCCCAGTACGTACATTTTCCCTGAAGATAAAGGCCAGGATGGCCGCCGAAAGCTCCGCCAAGAAGATGACCAGGATGAACAGGAAGAACTGCAAAGAGAAGGGGCGGGCTCATGAGTCCTGAGGGTGGGAGGCAAAGGGGACACTGCTCACGGAAGCCCCCTTCTGCCTGTCATACAACTGATGCAACGTACCGACTCTGTAAAACTAAGCAACTTCATTGCCATAACCCAGACATTTTTCATAATGTGCATACCAGCCATCCATCTTGGGGGTCAACATGGTTGTGAGGCAAATATGGAAAAAGTAACAAACAAACAAGCCTTCCGTGCAACTGGCACCGCTTAGCTGAGGCCCCTTGTGCAGTGTTCCAGCTGAGCAACCCTGCCTGGCAGACCTGGAAGGTGATGGATGTCAACTGTCCAAGCTGTGGGATCCCTGGCTTTCCCCACCCCGCCGGCCGCAGGGCCGCCTCCCTGCTGCAGCTTCTCCTCTGCATGGGAGGTGGAGGGTGATACTGATCTTCAGCCGCAATAACAGAGCAAGTTTGGGGGGAAGGTGGTGTGCCTATCAAAATGTGGAAACCCAGGGGCTGGGAGTGTCAAATCTAACAGAGCCCCCTCTCCCCCGCCACTGCATTTCCTGATGCTCCCCGAGTCCCCCACGATGACCCTCGCCTCGGGGCCACCTCTGCCGGCAAGGCCGCTCCCTTCCACACCCACCAGCACCTTGTTTTCCAGACCAGGTTTAGCCTCAGCTGCTCCCCTGTTGAGGAGCCTGTCCCTGCTCCCCCACATCACCAGAGACGTCCTCATCGCAGCTGCTGAGTCCCCACAGGGTCCCTAACGTAAGCACGGAGGCTGTAACTCAGCAAGCCTTTCCCCATGCCCGAGGGCGCAGACATTGGCCGGTTCGTGGCTATCCGATGAATGAGTGATGCCAGCGGCGACTGACTCGCCATCACGGCCTTCCTGTCCACTACCTCTCAGGCCCTTGTTGGCATGGGCACAGTTTTGGGTGAGAGCTGTTGGCAGAAGAAAGAGGAAATGGCTGTGCCTTCATTACTTAGCACCGCTGGTGCCTTTGGCAGGTACAATCTGTGGCAGTCGCAGAGTTGTCACCCACCTGAGACCACCAGCAGAGGAGTGAATCCCCAGGGCACACAGAGCTAGATTCTTACAGACCTTCCAGCCACCGTGGCCAGCTGCGCCCAGACCTGCTCCCTTGGGTCATGGTCCCCAGAGCCACTGGGCTCCACGGGATGTGCCCAGCCTAGAAGGAAGCAAAGGGTCCTGGGCTTAGTGTCCGCCTTGCCTTGCTTTGTGTGACTTGGGACAACCACTGAAACCCCTTCTAGCTTCCCTTTCCTTGTCAATAAAATGAGGATGTAACAGCCACTTCCAGGGTCACGTGGGGAATAACGAAATACTGGATGTGACAGTGTTCTGCATGTCACAAGAGAGGCCGAGCTAAGCTGGTCGTCAAGGCTCTTACAAGACTAGGAGCGCAGAAGCCAGCTCAAGTGCCAGCTGCTCCGCGAGCCCCCGGCGCCTGGCTCCACTGACACCCTCGGTGTCTCTCCTGGATCCGGTTTCTTCCGGTCAGAGGAAAGTTTCTGTCACTTTACCCTCATCTCAGGAAGAGCCCAGTCATGTTCCCTCCCTGACTTCTCAGCATGAACAGCAGCTGCCCCGATAGAGGTCCGTCCCGAGGTCCCTCCAAATGGCCTTCCTGTCCAATGGCCTTGTTTTGTTTCTTTTAAACGTCCATACTCAAGAACCACCCCTGGCTTAAACAGGTCAGCCAGCACAAAGTGTGGGCCTGTCACTCCTCATCCCGAACGGTCGCCTCTGGCCCCAGGAGTCCCGCCAGGCTGAAGCTGCGCCGGTGTGGGCTCGGGCCTCAGAGAGGGTCCTTCAGCACTGGGGCCTGGCACTTGGTCCCCGTCTCTGCAGTGGACAAAACAGGCCGGGGAAGGAAACCGCCACTCCAAAAGAGGGCAGCCCCGAACCCTCAGAGCCCATCCCTCCGCCCTACCCCAAGTCCTTTCAGGGCGCCACGCTGCCTTGTCTCTGCTGAAGAGCGCGGCTCAGGACAACCCGTCCGCAATTCTGCCGGACTTTCACTAGGGGTCTGCTTCTGACAGGCCAGCCTTGCGGGGGTCCGCTCTGACCTCGGGCTGAGCTCGGGATTGGGCAGAGTTCCCCGGCCAGAGGGGACTGTGACAGTGCGTCCTGGGCCGCTGGCCGGGACACCTGCAGGCCATTCCGACACCCCTGTGGCCTCTCCCCCACGCCTGGGTTCGCCCTTGCGCGGAGCCACGTGCTCTCCGCTTCCGTGGCCTCTCTTCCCCCGACAGTGACGGAGGCCCTTGGCACTTCCGTTTGGCTAGTGATGGATGGTCTTCGGGTTGTTTCCACGCAAGCCGTTCCCTGCCCTGTGCCCCGCTCAGTGGAGTTGCTGGCAGTGCTCAGGCTGGCAAAGAGCAGCCCCAGAAAAGGTCTCCATCCTCGGTGACATGATTCAGCTGGCTCTCACTATTGATCGACGTGGCTTAGACAGTTATAAACTATGGATGAGACCGAGCTCCAGCCTCACGCACTCCGCGTGCTCACCACTCCGCCAGCGTGTGCGCCATCCAGGCTGACTCGGCACAGCTGCAGCGAACGAACGGTGCAGGCGGAGCCCCGCGCGCAGGGCTGGTGCGGTGCAGGGGCTGCTGAGACGGGGGCTCTGAACCAAGGGGAAGTGCGGCCTTCCTGAAGACAAGTGCTGCCGTCTACTGAGTGCTCACCACTTAGGCGCTGTGGGTCTCACGGATCGTTTCACTGTACCCTCCTGGCAGCCTGGAGAAGCCGCTGCTTTATTATCAACACCCCCATTTTACGGATGCAAAAATTGGGAGCCTGAGCGAGGGAGCTGGGCACAGCAGGTAGGCGGTACACCTGGGAGAAATGGGAACTCTGATTCCAGAACATGGCCTTTTAACACCAAGTCACCCTGAAACCCACACGAGCCTCCGGGTTGTACTAATTCCCAATGGCCTGCAGAGTCAAGTCTCTTGTGGATCCACCCCAGGTCCTTTAGTTTCCTATTTATCAAGTGTTTGCATGTGCCAGGAACAGAGCAAAGCAACATATGGGAAGGAGGTATTATTACCGTCATTTTGCGCAGAAGGAATCTGAGGTTCAGAGAGGTTAAGTAACCAGCCGCAGGCCACACAGCCAGGAAGTGGCAGTGCAGGGGTCAGAACCAGGCTTTTCTGACTCCAGAGCCAACGCTGTTACCCACATCTCTGACAGCCTTCTCTCTGTTCTTTCATTCCAGGGCCGGTTACAGAGCACCTGCTCTGTGCCAGGCACTGTGCTGGGGACTGGCAAACAAACACACACCAGGCAGATACAGCCTCATGGAGTGCACATTGAGCGGAGCACCATGATTCAAGAAATGAAATTCATGAGATGAAATTAAAGAATGAATCCGGTAACTCGTTGGCGGAGAAGTTGGCCAGAGGAAGGAGGTCTGCAGGCTGCCTTGCCATTGCTCCTGGTGACTTGAGTGTGTGTGAGTGTGAGTCAGTCACCTGAAGGAAAGTGCCAGGCTGTGGTTCCAACATCCCAGCCGCGCCCCTTCTGCCTGCTCGCCTTCTCCAGCCTGAAATTATTTCCTTCTGCTTAACTGGTCGTTTGGAGGGGCGGCCCCTGGCCCCAGCCACAGGCCTTGTCCGGGTACTTCCTGGGACTTCCCCTAATCTGGGCCTCTCCCCTGGTTTGTTTGCCTTGCATTCATCTAACCTTAATCCATCTGCCCGTGGGCACATTTGCCAGTAATTCCTGAGCATCAAATTTACAACACTTTGCATAGGATGGGAAAATTAACAAAGGGGCGGCAACTGCTATTTTGCCTACTGGTGAGCATTTCCAGACTCTTCTAACCCATCTGCCTACAGGCACATCTGCTTTCAGCCCTCATTTCTAATAAATATTTACCAAATTTACATATTTCATGTGCCATTCAGCTCATTGATCTCTTTTAAATATACTCATCTCTTTTTGCCGTTCTCACTTCCAATTTAGCATGCCTTTTTTACAAAATGTTTTTAACAATGTGAGTCAAATAACTGGGCCAAAAAAATTCCTTGGACAGCAGAGGTGAGCAACCAGGAAAAAGGGATGCCACAAAGTGTCAATAATAGGCTTAAGTTCTCCTGTTGTATGTGAAAATGCTGTGAAATTGATCAACAGGAGTGTCTGAAAAATGTATCTTCAGAAAAATCGGTCATTAGGTGATGCGGTCATTAGGCTCATTGTCCCTGGGCTAAGGGTCACGGGACCCTGTGGGTGTTCGCCTCGGAGGAGGAGGAGGAGGGGAGGCTCAGTTACCTTCCACCCCCAGACCCCTTCTCCTGCAGGCCTTGAGCCGGGTCCCTGAGGAGGCTAAAGTGCTCCTTCTTGGCCCCTCTCAGGACAAGCCTTCCCTCCCTCCCGGCAGGCTGAGGAAGTGGTCTCAGGCTTCCCTGAGGACCCCAGCATCTACCAGGGGTGAGACACGGTGCCCCTCTTCCACTGGAACCCCCACACGGCCAGGGCCAGCTTAGAAGAGGAAGTGGTTCTTCTTATTTTTTAGGTCATGGGTCTTTTTGAAAACTCTCCGGAAACAGGCATGTGCACACGATATACACACGCACACACACACACAGCCCACATGTGCAGGCACACCCACACAGGCCCTGATGTGATATTTTACACATAATTTCAGGTGAATTTTGAACCACTTGAGTTCTGGGCCAGCCCTGGTATGAGAGAGAGGAAGCCTGGGTCCAGGGATCCCCCACCTTTGACCTGCACCGTGACCTCGAGCTTGTCTGTGCTGGGCATCAGAAAGGATGAGGAGGAGAGGGGAGGGGAAGGAACACAGGGGAAGTGAAGAGAAAGAGGCAGGGAGACTGCACAGAGGAGAGGGGCATTCAGGAGAGGGGTGGGGAAAGGCAGCGGGCATAGAAACCAAGAGGTCAGGAGAAAGGCAGAGAGAGAGAGAGAGACAGAGAGACAAAGAGCAAGCAAATAAAGGAGCAATGGAGAGATGAGACTGAAGAGAGGAAAAAGGCAGCAACAGAGAGGGGTGGGAAGGGGCTCCTGGAAGGTTCGGTGGGCTGGACGTGGCCGCAGCCAGGACTGGACTCTCTCTCTAGGGGGACTCGGGGTGAGCCTCATCCTGGGCCTCGGTCTCCTGATATCGAGGAGAACGATGTCCTCGTCCAGCTGGCAGGCTCAGAGGGAGCCACTTAGCTCACTGCCTCCCCAGCCCAGAGTCCCAGCCTGGCTTCCTGTCTTGGCTTCAGAGATGAGCCCATTAACAATGGATGAGCGCTGGGGGTTGAGGTGTGGGGGGCTCGAAGTGGGAGGAGAGGTTCAGTGTGTCCTGGGAAGCCATACTCCTCTCCTTTTAAAGTCCCTTGGGGCTCCCCAACCCAGATTTCTTCCCCTGCACCATCTGACACGGTAGAGAGCTTTCCACCAGGGGGCGCCCGTAGGTTTCTTTGTTTCCCAATGAAAAGTTTGCAGCTGCAGAGGGCCAGAGACCCAAGGCTCCGAGTTACACATTTCACAGCTGATTTCATTGCTCTCTGTGATGTGCGGCAGCTCACTGTGACACGAACCCGGGACTATGCGGTGTGTTCTAATCTTGGGAGGAGGCACTGTGCTGGCTCCCTGCCTCCCAAAGCGCTGCGTGCTGGCTCACAGGCAGGAGCAGGCAGAAGCCTTACAAGGAAGTCCTGCTGATGAGCAGCCCAGATCTTCCTGTTGCTTAGCTCCCCACCCACCCTCTCACCCGTCCACACACACGCTTCTCTTTGCAGGGTTGTTTTTAACTTAACCCATTTAACCCAAAGCAGTTCTAGGCTCAATTCACAAGTTCTCCCAGCTCTGGGAGCCCACAGGACCCTGCAGGGGAAGAAGACCCATCCACCAGGGCCAAGAAGGTCAGCAGAAGCCCAACGGACCACAGTTCACGGGAATACAACAGACCAGAGAAACAGGACATCTACCTCTTATCTTGCTTGGCTCCTAACTACTGCTGAGCTGGTCGGCTCCCTGCTTAACAAGCAAAGACACTGAGGCTCAGAGAAGTTAAGATACTAGATGGGAGTCATATCCTTAGTTAGGGGACAGATCCGGGCACATGCTCAAACAGGTCTGCCTGTCCGGGAGGGAGAAGACAGCCACTCCTGGCCCCCGATGCATCTTCAGCACGTAGTGAGCTATGAGGCCTATAGTATCAGTTCAAGGACTATTTATTTACTGAATAAAGGACCTTCAGAGATTGTATCATTTCTGTTTTAGAACTGGAAAAGCAAAAGGTGAATGATTTATACAACTGCTATCTTAGCTGTTTCTCCAAGGAATTATAGATCTGAGTTCTTAAAAGCAGGCAAGTAGAAAGGCGTCATGGCCACCATCCTCGGCTGACCGTGTCGTGGGGAAGCCTGGCTGTACACGCCCAGAGGCCACGGCCGCGCTCCACACAGGGCAGCTTGCCCATGCGGCAGGCTTGGGCCTGGCATGCAGAGCAGGCTCCGGGAGCTGGGGCTGCGAGTTCAAATGGGAGAGGTCAGTGGCCCTCCCGCCTCGGCTCAGACCTCAGCCTGAGTCCCCCGCAGTGCAGGCCCAGGGCCTCCACCTCCCGCCCCCCGGGTGGGGTGGGGGTGGCGGTACTCACAAACAGCAGCAGACACTTGTTCTCCCGGATGGCCCCGCAGCAGCCCAGGAAGCCGAGCAGAAAGAGCAGGCCCCCCATGGCCAGGAGGATGTAGGCGCCCGTGATGAGCAAGGGGTTGGCAGCCACGATCTCTCGGAAGCCTGTGGGGTCCACCATGACCCAGATGCCGAGGCCCAGCAGACAGGCCCCACCCAGCTGTTCGCAGGCCCAGATAGGAGGGAGGAGAAGAGACAGGCAGACACGGAGGTGAGATATTAGACCCTCCGTACACACGTCCCCCGAGCAAGGTCCCCGCAGAGGCGGTGAGCCCAGTGAGCTGGGTGGGGACTCCCTGTGCTGCAGGAGCCGGTGTCCCAGCGTGGCCTGTCACTGCTTCGGGTCTTCCCACTTACTGACCTTAAGAGCGACCCGCACCCTCTCAACCCAGCTTCCGACCCAGGTCCCGCCTTGGCCCGCGGGGAACCATATCGTGTGGAGTTTATTGGCCACTTTCAAATTTTCCCTACACATCAGAGTTGCAGGACGATGAGGTGGCCTAGTCCAACCCTTGGATCCCACACTGAACCCCAGAGGGGGCCAACGACCTGCTGAAGGTCACATGGGGGCTGAGTCCCTGGCTTCCCGATCTCCATGAACAGGCACTGACACCGACACTGTGCCCGCGCCCTGCTAAGGACAGGAAGGCAGACAAAAGCCATCCCATCTGTCCCCAGCAGGAGCCCTCAGTCAGGTTGGGTGCCCCACTCTCAAATCCGCACCTCGAAAGTCTCCATCTGCAGGACCCGTCCCTCCCTGCCTTACTCATCTGGGAGGCAGGTGGCGCAGACCAGAGAAAGAGCTGTGGTGCTTATCAGCTGTGTGACCTTGGGTAAGGGGCTTAACCTCTCTGAACTTCTTAGCTTCCTTGTGGTTAAAAAAAGATACAAATTCCCACCTCCCAAGGTGTCCCTTGAGGAAGAAAGGGCAGGATGGATGTGAATGTACTGAGCAGGTTTCGATAAATAGCTACTCCATTTGTCCCGGGCACAGGCAAGCCCTGGAAGCCGATCAGCGGCAGGAGAGCCAGTCTGGCATCACTGGATTTTGAAGGCTGTAAAGTGTTTGGAATCCCAGTGTGGTGGGAGGAATGACAGATGGCGGCTAAGGGCAAACTGCTGAGCTCTGGCTTGGCTGAGAGGGACTGTGAGCTGCGAAGAGATGCATAGTTTGGGGCAAAAGATCATATTTTAGGTATAGTTGGGGCAGGGGTTGGGTAGAGAGACCCAAGGGACCAGGCAGCGGGGGAGAGAGAAAGGGAAAACCAACAGAGATGGCCAATGACAAAAGGCTGCCATGGTGCCCTCTGTCACTGGTCTTCCTACCAACCTCCAGTGGGGCCCGTGTCCCTCCCCGTGGCTGTTGGAGGTTTTAGGGTTCAACAACTGCGCGCTGCATTCTGCTGCAAGAAGGGCTTGTACACAGACTGAGCCGCCCAGGTGGCCCAGCCTGTTTCAGGCGGGGACACTGGGGCTTGCCCAAGGTCACTAGCTTGGAAGTTGGGTCTAGAATTCAAGTCTGTCTGGCTCCCTGCTCTTCAGAATTATGGGCCCAGGGAGGGGGTGGTGGGAATGCAGGACACAGCTGCTGAGACGTATAGAAAATAGATGGAGAGAGACAGAGTCCGTCTTGACCAGAAAGGGGCCTCTTCTTCACAGTGACCCCACCCTGGAGGATGTTAGTGGACGTGTATTCATCCAGGTCTTGGATGCACCAAGGTCAAAGACTCAGGTGGGGTCAGGAAAGCCTTCAGGGACTCAAGGTGACAGGAGTGTGGCTCTCTCCTGCAAAAGACCATGTGCTCTGGCCCTCGGAGCCTGTGCTGCAGGACACTGGGCTGGCCCCCTAAGCACTCAGGGCTCTGTCCCTCACGGGCAGAATCCATAGGTGGGGTGGGGATGGAGCTCAGCGACAGGGTGCCGACATGGTGCAAGCATTCGCTAATCTTGCTTAATTAAAAAGAAAAAACACCTGTTGAGGTAGGTCTTGCAGGGATGAAGACACTGAGGTTCAGAGAGGTGAAGTGTGTTTCAAATCACGTAGCTGGTAAGATGCAAAGCTTGGCTTTGAACCAGGTCTCCAAGCTCCAGAGAGGTTTCTAATTCCCTCAGGCTCCCCTCCAGCCCTGCCGTCTGTAATGCTCTGGGGGTCAGGGCTAGGTGGGGGGCCCCCTGCTGCCCCCTGCTCACTCCTGTCTCCTCTTTTCCCCCAGTCCCCACCAGGGGTCAGGTCCCAAGACAGTGGCGGGGACGGAGGCCTCCACGCTTTTTCAGAGGAGCAGGACCATCCTGGGTCTGTCAGAAATGTCCCTCCTTGGACGGAGGGCCCTTTGGGTGAGGTGGGCACTGCTGGGGGCCTCCCACCCAGACAATCCTGGCGGGGCAGGTACATCTGCTCCTGGCTCTGGGCCCTGTTCCCACCTCTGGGACTCGGCCCGTTGTGACTATTTTCAAGCAGCAGTCAGTTCTGCCCGCTCAGCAGAGGCCTAGGGGGCCCCAGGCATGTTCCAGGAATACTTACAAATATGAAGAAATTGAAAACAAACATCAGGTACTTCATGCAGCTCAGACAGTCGCCTTCCATGATGCTCTCCCTACAAAACAGCAAGGCTCTTTAGTCCTCTCACTGGAGGACGCCACCCAGAGACAGCCTCTGGTCCCCTGACCCCTCCATGCCCGGGGGACGGTCCCTGCCTGCCTTTGTAGTGGGAGGGGGAAGAGGGAAGCACTTTGCCCTGTGGAGCCAAAGCGAGGGGTGAGAGCTGGGGAACCAGCATGCTGAGTTCAAGCTCATGCCTACCATTCATTTGTCTACCATTCATTGTGGTCTTGGGCAAATTACTCGACCTCTCTGAATCCTGTTCTAACTTAAAAAATTGAAATTAAAAACAGAAGCTTCCTCCCAAGGCATGTCGTAAGGATGAACTGAAATAATGCAGTACCATGCTTAGCGTGACACCCTGCACGTGGCAAGGGCTCCACGCTGCTACATGATGACATCGCTTGATTGCTGAGGTGGGCCTTCCATTCGGTAGATGAGCAACTGAGACTCAGAGCCTTGAGAGGCTCGCCAAGGCCAGCAGTCGGGATCAGGAGCTGGGCCTGACAGGCTTCCCACCACCATACACTCCCTCCAGCCTGCAGGAATGCCCAGCAAGGAGGCGTGTCGCAGGAAAAAGAGGTGGGGGCCCCTAGCTGGGGGCCCAAGACCTGCTCCCGGGGCCAGTCCCTCCCTACGCCCTGACTGCCTCCAGCATGACACCTCCCTCTGGAGCCTAATGACTCACTGAATATGACTCCATTCAGCCAACATTTATTGTGTATCAACTGCAAGCCAGGCACTGGGGCTTGAAGCCAATGAGATGCAGCCCTTCCCCATCCCTGGGAGAAGCAGAAAGCATCTGCTATTATGAGTCAGGCCTCAGGGTGCACAAGGCACGTTTGCATTTGAAATTCAATGTTTCCACACTTCCTTCGTGACAGCCCAGGGGGGAAGACAGGTGAGGCCAGGAGGACCTACCCTTGCCCTTGTTCCAGGCCCCGTCCTGCTGGCAGCCAGCGGGAGAGCTGGGACCCGGTGGGGACCGCGGGGACCGGCTCGTCTGCTGTCTAGCTGGCATCTCTTCTGCTCGGCCCATGCCAGTACCCAACAGGTGTTAAACATCTTGACCCCCATCCCCAAACCCAGGCTCTTCCTCTGCCAGGCTCAGCCGTGCACAGGCCTTTGGGGGACAGAAGGGTCCTCCCCGGTGAGATGCCGAGCAGTCTGCAAGAGGCCGGGCTCTGGAGTCCCTCCACTCTGTCCACCCAGGCAAAGCTGCTCCCCAAAGTAGGATCCAGTTTTCAGTGGGCTCTAGCAATTGAGCAATTAAGGGGCATAATAAATATGTCGGCTCATAAACAGACTACCTATATTTATTATGTCCCACATTCATTAGAGATTCCATTGAATGGGAAGCTGTGGAGTGCTGGACTCCCAGACAAACGCAATAAAAGGAGACGTGTCTCCCGGGAAGAGCCTCCGACAACCTCGACAGTGAGGCAGGCGGAAAAACCGATGATGTGAGCGGGGAGGTGGATGGAGACGGGAACTGGGTTTCAGCTCCAGGGCATGGTGGGCAATGAGAAAGAGGGCTGTGTGCCTGACCATGGACCAAACCCCAGATCTGGCAGGCTCAGCTGGGGGTCTGGGGCAGCTGCATGCACCTGAGTTTCCTTGTCTTTAAAACTAGTATAAAAATAATCCTTCCTGATAATGCACGGAAAATACTGAGCACAAGGCTTGGCACGTGGTAGCTAATAACAGCAACAGCTAGCGACAGCTTGCATACCCTGAGCTCTTGGAGATATACCCAAGAAACATGCATTATCTCCGTCCTCTTTAAGCTCCAAAATATAGGTAATGTCATTTTTCAGGTGAGAGAAATGAGGCTCCATTTTTCAGGTAAGAGAAATCAGTCTCAGGCGGGTGGAATCACTTATCTGGGGTCACACTGCGCGGAAATGCCTAAGGCAGGATTTGAACCTACGTCTGTCTTAATCTGGAGCCACAACTCTTACTCACCATTTTTAGTGAATGCTAATTCCTTGCCCCATTCATCCATTTTCCAAAATTCAGGCCTGTCTTCACACCTCCTATTACCAATTTATTCCCCAAGGTCCAGAGGAAAGAGTCTCTTGAGCCATGATCTATTGTCAGGATGGTCAAAAGACCCAGGCCTGCCTGCCCCACCCCCCACAAAGGGCTTCTCATCACGGGGACACGCATCTACAGCCAATTGGCCAGACAAGAGTGACAGACACATGGACTCTCCAACCCTTACGTGGATCTGGCTCTTAGCTCCGCCCACCCAGAGCCTTTTGGAAGTTAGCATCACTACACACTTCCTTCATTTACTTCTTAAGGGGACGGGAACATAGACAATCTCTGGAAAGTGAGCTGAGAAGATGCCTGAGACCATGAAGTTCAAGGTCTTGGTTTTTTCTCAAGAAAGATGTTCAAAAGGCACTTATGAAGGAGACTGGGGGTCCCTCAGTGACATGGAAATGGCATGCCCTCCCTGGGACCAGAGGTGAAAGGCCCACTGAGGTTCTCCCTTTCCAGGGAGCCCCCAGGGACCCCGCAGGGAGAGTATCAGTGTGGGTGGGGGCCACAGAGTCAGACCAGACCTGGCTCCCCCACCTCCTAGGACAAATCACGTAACCTCTCTGGGCCTTTGCATTAGTGTCTGAAGAATGCGGCCAGGAGTGCCGACCTCCCTGGCAAACTGAGCGAACTGAGGATTAAATGATAGTATGTGCAGAGCTCTTCATGCCCTGCCTGACAGGCAGTGGCTCTGTTCCTTCTTTCCTGCCTGCTGCCCAGCCCCGAGCGGCTCCTCTACCTGCCCTTCTGGACACCCGTTAGCTGCAGTTCTGTGGCAGGAGAGGTGAGGACTCTGGTGCAGAGGATTTCTGAGTGGGGAGAATGTGTGTGAAATGGTTTTCAAACTGGGTTCCCAGAGAGTAACCATATCCTAAAGCTATTTTCAGGACATCAAATATCTCAGTAATCATCTCCTTACTACTAGCCAGACAAAGTGTCTTGGGTTTTAGAGCAATTAAACCACCCCAGGGTGGGGGACCCTGTTTATTGAGTTGTTCAGAAGCTCTGGTCACCAGGTATGTATGACTTTGCAGTAAGAAAAACCAAGGAGAAACTTGAACTTAATAAGTGACTTAGTAAAAAGGCAGGGTTGTTTGGTGGATAAATTCTCTGAATCTTGGGGCTCAGAGGGATGAAATGCCGGAGTCAGCATCATAGGCGAACTCGGCTTCGTGTGACTTCAGCTCCCCAGGTGAGGTGGAAAGCGTGCAGGTGGGCAGTTCAGCGCTGTGCCCCAGCTGCCCTTCCACGTGGGCGTCGGTCCCAGGGTGAGCAGGGGTGGGAGCCCTGCACTCGCTGCTCTGGACCTCATGGTCTCAAGGCTCCTCTACCTGTCACAGTGTCCCCGCCCCTGGGCAAGTGAAGGTTCTGGGCTTACAGACGGATGCTTTCCCCCGAGATGCAACCGATTGGTTCTTGTGTAACAAAACCAGGTGTTTAAGAGCTTTAAGGGGATTTACGGGAAACTTTAGTTTGACGCCACTGTCGGTACGGGTGCTGATTTAGGGCCCAGCCCTCCTGTAACTTACGTCATCAGCACTTCAGTGAAAGAAGTTTGTGGTCATAGGAAGTCAGGGCAGCACTGATCTGGCCCAACACCCTCACTTTGGAAATGAGAAAACTGAGGCTGCGGAAGGGAAAGGGGGTTTGGCCACATTGCAAAACCAGTCAGCGAGGGATCTGAAGGAAGCTGGCACCTCGTTTCTTGAAGCTCAGGCCAGTGCCCATGGAAACACTGCAAACTCGATGTTTTACTTATTCAATTTGGCAGCGCACGTGTTCGTCTGTTAGGATGTACGCTTCATAAAGGCATGGACCTGATTTGTTCACTGCCATGTTCCTTGTGACTAGGGTACTGCTGACATAGGGTAGGTCCTGAATTAATACACAGGAAGGGAGGGAGGGAGGGAGGGAGGAGGGATGGTGGGAAAAGAGCAAATAGAGATAGAGGACAAAAGAGAGTCAGCAAATGAGAGGAATAGACAAGGACAAGTCAGAAAGTGGGGTGGAGATGGAGCAAGACAGGTAAAGAGAGGGACAGCAAGAAATGATATGAGGAGGGACAGACAGAGACAGAATTGAGGGAGAGGGGCAGCTGTGTCGGGGTGGGGCACAGGGGCGCAGAGTGAGGGGGAAGCAACTGCTAACGTGTCACCTGGGCAGTTCTTCAGGCGTAAGCAGGACGGAGTCTCCTGGTCAGAGGGGCTGCTATATATTTCTTTTATTGGCCCAGCTTGTCCTATAAGAGAAAATATTCAATTACTGTAGGAAGTCATTAAAGAACAGCCACATCCACGAAGCTGTTTATGAAAACCCACCCTCCAGACACAAACTCCGGGCAAATGCCTTGCTAATCGGGGCCCATTGGGGCTAATGAAAAGCCTGCAGCATCCGGGCCCCTCCGTACAGGGAGGCCTGCATGGGGTGCCTGCCTCTGCCCAGATGGCAGCTCTAGGTGCCCTTGCTGGGGCTGCACAGGAAACCACATCTTCAAAAGACTTGCAAGTCCTGGCACGGCTTCATCTATGCTGCCTTATGGCATGTGGCCGACAAACTGGAGGAGGCGATGGGCGTGGGGGGCCCGCACACCTGGATGTCACCTTGATGCTAGCAGGGCCCTGTTCATCAAACCTCCTCCTCAGGAACCCTGCCCCCTCACCCCCGCCAGAGAGAGGAATTTGGTGTTGGAAATGGTTCCTTAGCTTCGCGTAAGGATTTGCCAGAAGGGCCCTTCAGAGAGTCAGCTCCCAGTGGTGGCAATGAAAGTGTGGTTTCAGCCCAGGCGGAGAGTCCTGTTCTACCACACTTGCCGGGAACTCCACAGCCAGGTCCCGCTCAAACACTAGGCTAGAGGACAAGTGCCAGGGAAAATCTGAGGCCGGGGGGAGCTTGGGCTACAGTAGGGGGCAGGGGAGGGTTGATGGGTCTCAGGTGCTGGTTCAGACTCCTCCTTCCCGTTCAGGTAAGTCTGCGCTTACGCCATCACCGCTGCTTATGCACAGCCTGGATAGCACCGGCCTTGGCCACACCCCTTGGGACCTTTAGAAAGTCGCTAACCTCCCTGAGATGCTAGGTTCTCCTCTGAAAACCGTGATGCTCAGTTTTGAATCTAAAGGTGGTTATAGGAATTCAGGAGGCAAAACACGTAAAATGAAGTGACGCAATATGGACACACTTGGTAGCTTATAAAACACAGTTGCCATGGATGGCTGTTGTGACTAGCATCATCATATATTGAAAATAAGTGGGTGCTCATACCACATTCACCCGTTATCAATGGAGGTGAGCATGGGAGAGAACCATGGACATATGGCTTATTCAGGATGAAGAGAAGCATCTTTCCATTAAATGGCCCCAAATTCAAGTTAATTCTTGAATTTGGTTTTATGATAACTGAAGCTAAAATAACAGTTAGCATGTACCAGACTATGCTGAGAATTTCTCCTGTATTCTCTTTTATAACTCTCACCGAGGAGGTGGGCGCATTATCTCATTTTACAGACGAGGAAACTGAGGCTCAGAGACTGTCATGAACTGGCCTGACTTTATTCACAGGGTTAGTGAGACAAGGCCATGATTCAGGCCCAAGTTTGCTGGACTCCAAAGCAGAGCTCCTGATAAAACACCGGTCCACGGATGTGGTACCAGGGAGAGGACACCAGAAAGAGCGAGTGTCCTGCCTCGGTCCCGAAAGTCTCCAGCCCCGTGCTGCTCTGCCCTGAATCAGGCAGAAAAGCAGAGTCCCAGGGAGCCAGCTAGTGTCCTCCCTCGTGCCAGCTAGTGAGTGGTCTCTGGGGGATGACCCGATCCCGCCATCCCTCGACAGATGGGAGCCCCGGGGCCCGGAGAGGGGCAGAGACGGGCGAGGTCACGCAGCGCCTCAGGGTTCTCCGCCGCCGGCCCCTGCAAGGGCCAGACAGCTTTATTAATCTTGCCCCTCCCACTGCCCCAGATGGCGCCTCAATCCCATCTGCACGAAGCGGGCCCCGGAGGGGTTCTCTGATTAAGAAGAACAGCTCAGTTCATAAATCATTCCTTTTACTTTCACTGCCCCCAGCCCCTGGGTATGCTTTTTGGAGACAGAGAAAAGGAGGCAGGTGGGCATGAGCGATGGGAGAAGCCCCTGTCAGAGGAAGCAAATGTATCAAATGAACGTCTGGACTGCTGTTGAGTGAGAAATGTGCTGCATGCGCCCCTGCCAGGTGAGGGCGCTGTGGTGCAGGAACGGCCTCGCCTCCAAAATCCTGGGCTCCAACCAGCACGGGGTCTGCCCTGACAAGCTATGAGACCTGGGTCACTCTCTCCAGCTTCGGAGCCTACGTTTCCTCATCCGTGCCATGGGGATTCTCAATCTAACTCCCAGGGTCACTGAGAGACGTGAAGACGACGTAGGTGAAAGCACGTTAGCAGCTGCACGTCCAGTTCCTTCCTTCCTGTGTGTGCAAGACACCTACTAGTGCCAGCCCTGGGCTTGGTCCAAGGCATGGAGGCCAAGGACTCACTCAGGTCCAGTGAGAATCAGTAACCTGGTACTTGGAGAGGACTCTTAACAGCCACATCGACCAAGTGCTCTGGCCATGCCCAGCGAGAGAGAGAAACAAGCACCCAAGGGGGAGACTGGAAGCTGGGGAGCCCATGTGTGGGGAGGTTAGGGCAGGACCAACATTCACTGGGCCCCAATGATAACGCATTGTGCCATGGGCGGTCACCTGTGACTATCTTACTTGATCCTCCAAAAAGTTCTGCAAAATAGATATTATCTTTGTTCCCTTTTACAGATGAGGAAACTACTGTATTTTGCTGTGTATAACATGCACCCACGTTTTAGTACTAATTCCCATGTATAATTTGCATTCTTGTTTTCCCCTCAAAAATCTGGGCAAAAAGTGCACATTATACACAGCAAAATACGGGGTGAGTCTCCAACGAGCTAGAAAGGTCTCAGAGCCACAACTGACTCCCAGGTCAGCCTGACTCTAAGACCCGTGTTTTCCTTCATCAGGATGGGGAAGACAATGATTCTTGCCATCAGGTTCAAGGATGAGCGGGGAGGACTAGTCGGTCTCTGGCTGTGCCTGCGTCTAGCCTCACCCTCCAGCGCGGGGCCTCATCCCGGAGACAGACGGTCCGGTAAAGAAGCAACTGGCCCTACATCCTGGCGTGCCTGGCAGTGGCGCAAACAAGGGGGACGTGGACACAGCTGAGTGGGGGATAACGTCTAATTAGGCTCCTGGGAGCGGCATCTTGAGGGTTAATGGTACCAGGCAACCTGCCTTTTTGGATGCAATGGGATCCTCAATGACAGCCTCCTCTGCTCCCCAGACTCACTGAATTCTGAACATCCAGTGGGCAGACAGCATCGCAGTGTCTGGGAAGGACATGTTTCCGGTCTGTGAACTGAGCCGGTACGTGGGCCCTCGGCCCCTGCCACAGGCCCTTTCCTCTACCCCACCCAGAACTCCCAAGGCTGACTTCTATCGGACAGTCATCAAAGAAGAAAGTGCCTTAGTAAGAGGTAACTCCAATGCCCTCCTCGCACTGGGGATGCTGAGGCCCAGAGAGTAGCAGGGTCTTGTCCAAAGTCACACAGCAGGGCTGGAACCGGGAGCTCCTGACTTTAAGCCTGCTGCGTGTCTCACCGCTCAAGGGGATCACTGAAGACTGCCGCCTTAATTTATTTTGACGTCTGAAAGCACTTTACATATGTTACCTCATCAAATCTTCCCAACCACCCCAGGAGCCGGGCACTGCTGCTTTACAAGTGAGGAAACAGAGGCTCAGAGAAATGAAATCCCTGGCCTGAAGGAACACAGTAGATTGGAAGAACTGCTTCGACAAAGCAGGATTCCTCATCTTTCTGCGCTGGCTGTCTTTCAGAGGTGTGGCCTCAGGGACTTTGGGTCTGCTGATCCCCAAAGTGACCACTGTCCATGGCTCCCGTCCCCCACAGGGACCTGGGCTGGACTCGAGCCACAGAAGGTGCTCATCCCAGACACAGGCAATGAGTCTGTGTTCCTGCCTTTGAACTGAGACGGCCCCATTGCAAAGGCCCCTGGGAATGAAGGTTCTGCATCTTCTCGCAGGGACTTTACTTGCCATGATCTAGGTGCTGAAGGCAGGGCAACCTTGGCAGTTTAAACGTGGGCATGAGCAAGAAGGGTGAAAGGTCACTGTGTGTGTCCGGAACAGGAACTGGTCTCAGAACAAGTCCAAGCCTGGTGCGGGGCCAAACCGTGAAGCGTAGCTGAAGCAGGAGGAGGGGCTGAGTTCCAGGGCTGGAAGGGACCAGGAGGGTGAGGGAGGACACCCTCCCGCCTCCTGAGGCTGACCCTGTGCTGTCCTTTGCCCCTGCCGAGCCCTGAAGGGAAGCTTCCCTGACTGCCGACCTGGGGACCTGGGGAAAGGCAGGTGTAAGACAGACACAAGCGGACACTCCAAGTACAACGGCGGGGCTTCCAGCGCCCAGGGAAGACAGATGCAGGCAGGCACGCCCGGGAGGCCCTCCGGAGTTGTGGTGAGGATGCTCGGGTTCTAGGAGATGGCACGGGCATCAGGGATACAGGAAAGGAGGCCGACTCAGCCTCCCAGGACTGCAGAGGGGGCAGGGATGTGTCCTCTGAATGCGTCATTGCTGTCAAACCTTCCCCACCAGATAGAAGCATTTGGTGGCTAGGGCTGTGTCTCCCACTTCCTCTGAGTCCCCTCAGGGCATAAGGGGGTACTGGACAGAATATTATCAATATAGTCCCTGCTCCTGCTTCACGCATGCCAGGAACCATGCTGAACATGGCTCCAGTACCATCTGCAAAGGGTTAATAATCCTCAGGTTACTGAGGCTCAGAGACCGTGAGTAAGCTTCCATGGTGGCCCAGCACTGGGGGTCAGACCCCAGAAGGCACACTGCCGCTAAGTGCTTGGAAGCTGCTGGCTGACAGGCTATTAAACAACGTGCCCACGGGGCACGAGCAAGTGGTAAAGAGAAGGAACTGGCACACATGAGTCCTGGGGTCGAGTCCAGATTCTGAAAGCTTCGGGCGAAGACTGCCATCTCTCAGCCACGAGCCCTGTGCCTGTTTCCCACAGACAACCGCGTATCTAGGCCTCAGTGTAGAGCGGGAGCCCCAGCCTGCCCTTCCGGCAAGCAAGCGCGCTCTCAGCCTGGAGCTGCAAGAGGCCCTTTGAAAAACTTGGTGGTCTATCCCAAAATATTCAGAGTTGTTGCTGGGGAGACTTGGCTGC